TAATTCTCCCAATCCTTGAGCATGGGAAGTCCTTCCATCTTCTGATGTCTTCCTCAATCTCTTTCTTTAAGGTTTTAAAATATTAATTGTAGAGGTCTTTAATATCTTTGGTCAGGTTTTTTTCCAAGATACTTTTTTTTGCAGCTATTGTGAACGGGAGTGTTTCCATGTACTCTTTCTTTGCTTGCTTGTTATTGGTATATAGAAAGGCTACAGACTTTTGTAGATTAATTTTGTAACCTGCCACTTTACTGAATGTGTTAATAATTTCTAGGAGTTCTCTGGTGGAATTTTTGGCATCTCTTAGATATAATGTATCATCTGCAAAAAGGGATAATTTGATCTCTTCTTTTCCAATTTTTACTCCTTAATTTATTTCTCTCATTTTACTGCAAGAGTTTCAAGCACTATGTTAAAGAGGGGTGGAGGTAGTGGACAGCCTTGTCTGGTTCCTTATTTCAATGGAAGTGCTTGCAGTTTTTCCCCATTTAGAATGATATTGGCTGTGGGTTTGTTATATATGGCTTTAATTATGTTGAGGTATGTTCCCTCCAGTCCAATTCTCTCTAGAACTTTAAACATAAAAGCATGTTGAATTTTTTCAAAGGCCTTCTCTGCATCTATTGAGATGACCATGTGGTTCTTGTCTTTGAGTCCATTTATATGATTTATGACATTTATTGACTTATGTATATTGAACAATCCCTGCATCTCTGGAATAAAGCCAACTTGGTCATGGTGGATGGTCTTGTTGATATGTGTCTGTATGTGGTTTGCAAGTATTTTGTTGGGAAATTTTGCATCTATGTTCATTAAGCATATGGCTGTACCGTTTTGTTTTTTTGTTTGTATCTTTACCTGGCTTTGGTGTTAGAGTGATGCTGGCTTCATAGAAGGAATTTGGAAGTTCTCCCTCCATTTCTATCCCTTTGAATAAATTAAGTAGTATTGGATGTAGATCCTGTTTAAATGTCCGGTAGAATTCTGCTGTAAATCCATCTGGTCCTGGGCTTATTTTGATTGGGAGGTTTTGTATTACTTTTCAGTTTCCTTATGTGTTATCGGTCCTGTTTAAGTTGTTAATCTCTTCTTGGTTTAGTTTTGGTGGTTCCCATGCTTTTAGGTACCCGTCCATTTCTTTTAGGTTTTCAAATTTAGTAGCTTATAGGTTCTTAAAGTATTCCCTTATAATGTTCTGGATCTCTTTGGTGTCTGTTGTGATGTTTCCCCTTTCATCTCTGATTTTGTTGATTTGGATGTGCTCTTTCTTTCTCTTGGTTAACTGGACTAGTGGTCTATCAATCTTGTTTATCTTCCTAAGAACCAGCTCTTGGATTCGTTGATTCTTTGTATTGTTTTCTTTGTTTCTATTTCATTAATTTCTGCTCTGATTTTTGTTATTTCTTCTTGTCTGTTTGGTTTTAGTTTCATTTGTTGTTGCTGTTCAAGTGTATTGAGTTGCAATGTTAAGTCATTTATTTGTCATCTTTTCGAGTTTTTAATGTAGGCACTTAGAGCTATAAACTTCACTCTAAGGACTGCTTTCAATGTGTCCCAGAGGTTTTGTCATGTTGTATTGTTCTTTTCATTTAGTTCCAGGAATACTTTTATTTCTTTCTTAATTTCTCCTTTGACCCATTCATCATTCCAGGAGTATGTTGTTTAATCTCCATGTGTCATGTGGTTACTGCGGTTTCTTCCAGTGTTGATTTTAATCTTTATTTCATTGTGGCCTGATAGAATGCATGGAATTATTTCAAACTTTTTGTATTTGTTGAGGTTTGTTTTGTGCCCCTATACATGGTTGATTTTGGAGAAAGTTCCATAGGTCACTGAATTGAAAGTGTATTCTTTGGTGTTTGGGTGGAATATTCGGCAGATGTCTGTTAAGTCCATTTGATATATGGTATTGCTTAATTCAGATGTCTCTCTGTTAATTCTCTGTCCTGTTGACCTATCTAATGGAGACAGTGGGGTATTGAAGTCTCCTACTACTACTGAGTTGGGGTTAATCTTTGTCTTAAAGTCCTGTAGTATTGTTTTTATGAATTTTG